GGGGGGGGGTAGCCTGGTGGGTGTCCCCGCCCCCCGCGCTGAGGCCACGCCCCCTCTCCCCTCCCCGCAGGTGGGCGGGGCAGGCGCTGGGCCTGGGGCCCTGGGCGGCCCTGGGGGTCCGGGCGGGGCTGGCGGCCGCCCTGGGGCTGGGGGCCCTGCGGCTGCTCGTGACACTGCTGCCCGCCCCCGAGCGGTGACGTCACCGCTGACGTCACCCGTGACGTCACCAATAAACGGGACACCCACAATGCAAAGCGTGTTTTGGGGGGGGGGTCCTTTATTGTTGTCTTCAGTAGTAGAGCTCGCGGTCCCACCAGCCTGCGGGGAAAGGGCCCAGGCGTCCGGGAGGGGCCCCGGAGTCTGGGAGGGGCCCCGGTGTCCGGGAAAGGGGCCCAGGCGACCGGGAGGGGCCCCGGCGTCCGGGTGGGGAACAGAAGTCCGGGGGGTGGGCGGGACATGAGTCCAGGAAGGGACCCAGGCATCCGAGGGGGGCCCCGATGTCTGGGGGGGGTCCAGCATGGTGGAGGGGCCCAGGAGTCCGGGGTTGGGGGGGACAAGAGTTGGGGAAGGGGCCCAGGCGTCCGGGACGGGAGCAAGGGAATGAGAAGGGCGCCGGCGTCCGGGAGGGGCCCCGGCGTCCGGGCCCGCCACTCACTGCCCGGGTGCCGCCGCACTCCCAGCTTCCGGACCTCGTCGTAGAAGAGGATGAGGAGGCCGAAGGGCATCGGCACCAGCCACCACTGGAACCTATGGAGGGGGGGGGTCAGGGGGGCCCCGGCGTCCGGGGCGGGATGGGGAAGGGCCCCGGCGTCCGGGCGCACCGGATGGGCATGAAGTTGAAGATGTAGGGCATGCCGGGGCAGTAGCAGAGGAAGCAGCCGATGGAGACCTGGAAGACGATGGCGATGACCAGGATGTGGTTCCTGCGGGGACACGGAGCCTATAGCGCCTCTGGAGAGGCCTATAGCACCTATGGAGACCCTATGGCACCTAYAGAGAGGCCTAYAGTTCCTATAGAGAGCCTATAGCACCTATAGAGCCCCCATAGTGCCTATGCAGATCCTATACTGCCTATAGAGAGCTTGTAGCACCTATAGRGACCCTATAGCACCTATAGACAGCCTATACCACCTATAGAGAGGCCTATAGCACCTAGTCAGACCTTATAGCGCCTATAGAGATCCTATAGGCGCCTATAGAGACCCTATGGCACCTATAGARAGCCTATAGCACCTACAAAGACCCTATGGCGCCTATAGGGACCCTATAGCACCTACAGAGACCCTATAGCGCCTATAGAGACCCTATACTGCCTATGGAGACCCTATGGCGCCTATAGAGAGCTTATAGCACCTATGGAGATCGTATACCGCCTATAGAGATCCTATACCACCTATAGAGACCTCTAGGGAGCCTATAGCACCTATAGAGACCCTATGGCGCCTATAGAGAGCCTATAGAGCCTATGGAGACCCTATACTGTCTATAGAGACCCTATAGCACCTATAAAGACCCTACAGAGCCTATGGAGACCCTATAGTGCCTATAG